TAGGACTCCTGCAGTCCAGCTTGCCCAATGCCCCTCGCCAATTCTTTACACATTATCCTAGCAAACCTTTATTTATTTATTTATATATTTTACTGATTTTGTACAGAAAGGAAAGGAGAGGGATAGAGAGCTAGAAACATCGATGAGAGAGAGTCATCAATCAGGTGCCTCTTGCACACCCCCCACTGGGGATATGCCCGCAACCAAGGTACATGCTCTTGACCGGAATCGAACCCAGGTCCCTTCAGTCCCCAAGCCGACGCTCTATCCATTGAGCCAAACCGGTTTTGGCTATCCTAGCAAACCTTTAAAAATGTAAATCTGGTGCCATCAGCGTGGCTCAGTGGCTGAGTGTCAACTTATGAACCAGGAGATCATGGTTCGGTCCCTGGTCAGGGCACCTGCCTGTGTTGTGGGCTAGATCCCTAGGAGGGGCTTGTAGGAGGCAGCTGATTGATGTTTCTCTCTCCCTCTCTCTGAAATCAATAAAACAAATTTAAAAAAACAACTGTAAATCTGAACTTGGCAGACCTTTTAGGATCCCCACTGGGTTAGGATAAAATCGCAGTGTCCTATAAGATCCGGCAGGGTCACTCTAGCCTTACCTGAAACTTCCTCTTCCTCTCTGAGCCCTAGCCCCCCCAGATTTTTCTTTCCCAGAACTCACCAAGTTCTTTCTTTTTTTAAAAAAAATATATTTTATTGATTTTTTACAGAGGGGAAGAGAGGGGGATAGAGAGTTAGAAACATCGATGAGAGAGAAATCATCGATCAGCTGCCTCTTGTACACCCCCCACTGGGTATGTGCCCGCAACCAAGGTACATGCCTTTGCCTGGAATCGAACCTGGGACCATTCAGTCCGCAGGCCGATGCTCTATCCACTGAGCCAAACAGGTCTCGGTACCAAGTTCTTTTTTGCTCATTAGCTTTTACGGCTGTTCCCTCAGCCTAGAACAGTGCCAATGTCAGCGCCCCGCCCACCGGCACCTGCCTCCCCACTGCTTAGGGTGTCCTGCCTCCCCTGAGCAGCTCCTTTGGGGACCTCTGCTGAGTCCGCCTCCACTAGCACACAGTAGGTATTCTACACACACTTGTTCAATGACTAATAGTACCCCCTGTCTCCGCAGTTTCCGAGGGGGAGAGTGAGTGAACGGACTGATGGCATCCCGGAGGCTGAGGGCCCCCCTGGTGCAGCCGACCAACAGGCCTGCGGGTTCCCCGTCATGCAGAGACCACCTGGCCACCCGACAAGGTGCGCTGCTGCAGGCCAGGGCAGGACAATCGGTAAGGGGACACTGGGTGTTCTCCTGGGTCTGGAGCTCCCGCCCCGCTCTTCTTTTCTTTTGGGGCGGGATGGGTTCTGGAGTTTGGAGTGTGAATTACATCAGTCCCCTCTCTGTGGAGTAAAGGCTGGCAAACTCGTGTGCCGCTGGCTCCAGAGCCCCGGGTTCCAACTCTGGCTCCACTGCCAGTTGCGTGGACTAGGAACTTAACTGCACCGGTCTCCATTTCTCCATCTGCGAAATGGGACTGATGACAGTGCGCCCTTCCCAGAGCTGTGGGGCTCAGCAGGCTGCCATCACCTTTCAAGCACACTGCATGAAGCATGGAGGGCATTGTCAGCCCATGGGGAGATCTCCAAGTGAGGACCCGGAGAGAGCCCAGGGGAGGACCCGGACAGAGCCCAGGGGAGGGCCCGTTAACAGGGTGCCTGCCCTCTCTAAAAGCCCTCACTCCCAGTGTCACTCCCCAGAAGCCACATTTCCTCCGCCTTTGTAATAAACTTCCAGAGGTTTGTGTGGTTCATTTTTAAGTCACCAATGGATATCCAATGACTGACTGAAGGGAGGGCACCCTACTAGGCTCCGGGGCACAAAGATCAGTAGGTCCCACTTCCTGTCTGAGCGAGAATGCACACACTGCTATGACAACTCAGCGGGACACAGACTGTGAGGAAAGAGGGCTGTCGGGCAGGGGTGCATTGGGGTCTTGGGGATCCCTGGTGTGGATGGAGGGCAGGAGGTATGGAAGGGATGGCCACACACTCCCTTCCAGGGTGTGAAATCCCTGGGAAAGCAGGCTGAGCTCTGCGGAGACAAACTGGTGTGTATCCCCATAGACTGAGAACGTCTCCTGGCAGAGGGGGGGTGGAGAGCGCCTCTGAACCACACAGCCCCTGCCCTCCTGCACGGACGGACGGACGGACGGATGGACGGACAGCAGGTTATCCAGTGGAAGACAGGACAGCAATGCTGGATTCCACGCCCCTCTTCCCCCCTGCTCCCTCCCCTCGCCCCTCTCTGGGAGAGCGGAGGTACCCAGGAGCCGCAGGAGGTGTGTTGGGAACAGGCCTGGGTCCCTGCAGGCTGATTCCCAGGGGGGGGTGTCATGGAGATGGCATCTCCAGCGGGGGGGGGGGGCCTGCATCCCCTCCCTAGGCTTCTGCAGAGCCTTTTAAGGGGTGACCCTCTGACCTCCAGACTGTTCCCCTCACCCTCCAGCGAGAAGCCCTTGGGGCAGGAGCTTAAGGAAGGGGGCTCCAGAGGCCTCAGTTCAGATGCAGAGAGGCGGCCAGGGCTGGTTGGGCACTGAGGCGTCCCCTGGGCACACAGGAAAGCTCAGTCAAGGCCAGGAGGCCGAGTCAGGTCCATGGGAGTGCAGGGCAGAGATGCGGGTGCCTAGCCCAGGAGGAGGGAGGGGGGCGGTGGGCAAAGGGTTCAGCGGAGGGAGCAGGCGGGGCACTGAGAGTCTAGGACACGGGGTGGGGGTGGGAGGGCGAGGGGTCCGGCCAGCGCAGGGGGGGCGCCCCGGGGAGGGGCACGCTATGGCTTTAAGAGCTGCCTGAGCGCAGGTTGCAGCTGCCTGGCCAGCTCAGAGACAGCGGAGATTCATTACCCGCCGACACAATGACCATTGATGGCCCCGTGGCGTTATTCAAATCCAGTACCAATTGCAGCCGAGCCCCTTTCTCCGCGCCAGGCCGTATTGTTGGAGCGGCCCACTAAAAGCCCGCCCCGGCCCCGAGCCGCCAGAGGCGCCCGCTCGGTCCAGCCCTGCGCCTCGCCAGCCCGCCGGCTCCGGCCCGGCCACCGGGCAGACAGGTGACCCGGCGGCGCATTCCGGCGCTCCCGCCGCCACCGGACCCAGCCACGGGGAGCGGAGCACCGAGCGGTGCGTGCGCGGGGGCGGCGGGCGCGGGGGCCCGGAGTCCAGCAGCCCGACCGGCTGGGAAACCACCGGCCTCGCCCCCGCGCCCGCCGCCCGGATTCCTGGCGCTCCCGGGAAGCCCAGGCTGGGGGCGGGGAGGGAGCCGGGGTTCCCCGGGGCTGCCGGCGGAGGTTCCCCAACCGGGGGCGGCGCAGAGACCAGCACGGGCCACTCCGGGACCCCGGGCCGCGATCGCAGGAGACACGCGCCCGGGATTCCCCACGCAGGGTGGGACCGTGCGTGGCCGCCTTACCGGGCACGGCCGAGACGGCCAGCGTCTGCGGGACCTCCGGTCTGTTCCTCCCCAAGGAGCGGAGCGGAGCCCCGCCGACCGGGGCCCTGAACTCAGGGGCTTCGCCACTGATTGTCCAAACGCAATTCTTGTACGAGTCTGCGGCCAACCGAGAATTGTGGCTGGACATCTGTGGCTGAGCTCCGGGCGCGACGGGGGCGGGCGCCGCAGGGACCCAGCTCGTGAGCGGAGACCCCCGCTCGAGCGGCGGCCGGCGGCTCCACCGCCAGGATCGCGGCCGCCCGGCCGCCGAGGAGGGATGCCGGTTCCTGCTGCCGCGCCGCCATCCTCCTCCTCCTCCTCTGCGGGCGACCAGTCCTGGCTGAGGGGGTCCTCCAGTCGATCGCGTCGTGTCCCCTTTTTCAAATTCCGGCCGGAATGAAGCAGGCGCGGCAGTGGGAGGAACTGGTCCCGGGAGCCCGCTGCAGCCGCAGGAAGTCGGAGCGAAAGAAGATGCCGATGCGGGCAGAACGCACGGACTCGTTGTGAATCATCCTCATCGATCCCCCACCGATATCCCAATACAAAAAAGTCTCAACCGACCCCTAAATTCCCAATAAACCGACCCCACCCGCCAGGCCTCCGGAGGGACCGGGTGGGCCGAGCCTCCGCCAGCCGCTGCCAGAGTGAAGTGTGGGGAGTGATGCGCCCCGGGCGGCCGGGCAGTTGCCTGGGCTTTGGAAACCGGACTTGGGTAAACGAATCCTTTTCATTAAAGACAAATCTTCGGAGATGGTGGGGCTTATTCGTTTATTTCCTCACAGGTGGGAGCCAGGAGATGCTGGGGAAAGAGGCAGCTGGGCACGGCTGGGGCTGACTGAGGTCAGGTAACCTGACCCCTCTGAAGGAGGACTGAAAATGACCCAAAATTCTGTGGATCCTGGCTCCGAGCTGGCATCTCTCCCTGTCTCCCTCCGAGGATGTGGTTTTCCCAGCGGGTCCTTCTGCCTTCCTCCTCCTCACCACTCACTGGGGTGCGGTGGAGGAAGGGATAGCCCAAATCTACCCCCCTCAGCCAGTCAAGGTGCGAAAGGAATCCTCACCCAGATTCCAACTTGGAATCCCCATGGGACAACGGGCCAGTCCAGCGGGGCTGGAGGCGGGGAAGGACCTCCAGGTTACAGGGATCAGGGGGCAGGCTGATCCCCTGAAGCTGAGGCAGTGGGGGGCCATTTCCAGTCCCCTGCTCTGTTCCCTATACGGAGACCCTGACATCAGCACCAGTGTGGGCTGTCGAACAGCCTCTCTAGACAACACTCTGGACCCCAACACTGGCCTTCATGTGCACCCAGACCAGCTCCTACCAATAACCCCAATATGGCTGCCTCCACCCACACAGGTCCAGAGGCCCCCCACCTGCAGAGTGGCGGGGGCGTGGGTCCCTTATGCCTTGAGAGTGATGCAAGCACGTCCCCCACAACTCCAGCACCCTGCTGGGACAACCAACGGGCATTTCATCCCCACAGTGGGAGAAGTTTCACCATAAACTTCTGCATTTAGTGTTTGGGGCAGGATGATGTTACTGCCCTCAGATTTATTTATTTAAGATCTCCCTCCAGCAACCAAAGCTTTTCTCCAGGTCTTGGGAAGGAGGGGTTCAGCAATCTTATCTATGCCACCCCCCATCCTGGGTTCTGGGGCTGCTGGCTGCAGCTGGTGGGACAAAGCCCGGCCTCAGACAGACTGGGACCCAGACTGGTCAGCACCGCCTGGCTCTGACCCTTCTCCAGATGGCCTGTCAGGTCACCCCTAGACGGGCTGGGTAGTCTGGGTTTCAACCTCTGCCCCCTTTTGGGGTGAAGGGCAGCTCTGAAAGCCCTGGGTGGGGACAGAGAGGCTGGACCAGAGGCCATGGCCGAGGGATTGTGGGGTGCCATTGGTTTCTAAGGATAGAGCTCCAGGCAAGGCTAGTAAACAACTTAGTCTTTTATTTGGCCAAGGCCAGCTGTTGCAGGCACTGAGGCCCCAAGACTTCCAGAAGGGATGGAGGGAGGAGGGGTGAGCCACCCTGCCGACCAGGTGCTGCCTGCCCCCATCCTGCATCTTGCAGGCGGTGGGAAGGGAGATAAAGTCTACCTTTGTGACATCAGTATCAGCCCTGCTTTCTGATACTATAATTACTCAGTTGTTGAGGAGGAAACTGAGGCACGGTGACCCTTTCAGGCTTCTGTTTGCTAGTCCAAGGTTAACCTCCTCCCTCCTCCCCAGAACGAGCTGCAGCCTTTGGCTGGGGGAGGGTCTCAGGAGCCCATCTGGTGGCCTGTGGGGGGAGGAAGGCCAGCCAGGGTCAAGGGCTGTGGATGGGGGGAGCAGAAGGAGGGGTGTGGTTGGAAGAGCAGCTGCTGAGTTGGGGGGAGGGGGGTAGCTCTGAATAGGGGACCCCAGCTGGGGTTCCATAATGATATCAGTGGGGGACGGGCAGAGCCCTCTGCTGTCCAGATGGGGAAACTGAGGCGGGGACTCCTCCAATGTTTGAGGAGGGAGGGGCCTCCCATCAGCTATTAAGGCCATTCATCTTCCCCATGAAGACACCGTGACCTGGCGCTGGAGCGCCTGGTCAGCGGTCTCTCAGTGCTTAGACTGAGACACAGGAGTGGAAGGCAGCTGGGTCACCTGGCCCGAGCCCCTCTCTCCTCGTGACAAGCCAGAGGGCACCCTCCCCCCTCAGCTGCTGGGCTCAGGCACCTGCCTGCCTGCCCCTGCTCACGTGCCTGCCTGCGAAAGGCTCATTTTAGCACCTGGCCTCTTTTCCCTGCATGGAGGGAACCCAGGGGACAGGCAGATCGGGGAAGAAAACAACGGAAGGGGATAGGGAGATCTGGAAGCAGGGTCCAAGAGCATGTCTGATTGTTCTCTTCTCTCCCCTCCAAGGGGCCCAGGCACAGAGTGGGGTTCAGCCCCCGTGCAGAGTGGAGATGAAGAGGACGCTGTCCTGGTCCTGCAGCTGGTAGTCCAGCTCACCCTGGTCCGGGAGAGACATGAGGAGACCATCAGGGCCGCCTTCCCAGTTTCTCCCCAGGGGTCGGGAGGGCCAGGGGGAGGGTGTGTGTGTGTGTTGCTTTGGCATAGAATATACCAGAAAACCAGGTAGCCTGTACTTCACCTTGCAAATATCCAGGATGGAGGACAGTTCACCACGCCCCCCAGCTCCCCTTTTCTTCCTCTCTGGGGTGGGAGACTGGAGTAGCCTCAGTTTGGAGGCTACAGTGGGACAGAGAATTCTCCCATCACCGCATTTGGGCCTCATGAAAGGCCCTGGCTTGCCCACTAAAGCAGTGAAGGGAAGGGGTGGGGGAGGGATGTCCGCGGTACTGACCAGCAATTCCCAATCTGCATCATTAATCAGCACCAGAATTCCCGGCCTCCTGTGGGAAAGATGGGGTGAATGGCAGGGAAGGAAGGGCGGGGGGCGGTCAGTAGCAAGGACAGAGGCTGAGACATTGGGCTGCAGGAGAGTGCGGTGGAGCCTTTTCTCCTGATGCTCCTGTTAAATATCTCCCCGGAAGTGGAGGTGACAGTCTGAATCTAATGGAAACAGGGTCAGACAGAAACAGCCCTGGGGCCATGTGGAAATGCCTGCTCCACCTCCCAGGGCTCAGGCAGGTCATCTTGTTTCTCTGGGTGTCCGTTTCCTCTGCTGAACGTGGGCCAATGACAGGGCCTTCCCCACGAGGCCTGTGCGAGGCTGAACTGGGATGATGTGGGAGGTGCTTCTCCCTGAGCCTGTGGCGGTGCCCCTGGCAGCAGCATGTTCCCAAGGGCCTGTCTCAGTCTGCCCAGCCGGGGAAGGCCTCTGGGCAGTCCTGCAGTGGATGGGGAGGTGGATGCTGGAACAGGTACCCTGCCTGGCTCCTGCTGGCAGTGGCCCAAGGAGCATTGCTGGCCTTCAGGGTGGCCTCCATGACTCCCGGACCGTGATCTGAGCCAGGGGCTGCATGGCCAGGACCTGCGGGTGACCTCTGCTTCGGGGCAGATGAACGAGTCCCACAAGCCCCCCCGCCCCCCCCGCTTCTACACCTGAGGCCGGCACTTCCTTTACTTTTGTGCACTTGGAACCTGGCTCTTGCCTGGGAGGCTGAGCTGGGCCTGGCGCAGGGGTAGGAGGTGTGGGCTGAGGGCAGGGGTGTCTTCAGTGGACACAAATGTGTGTGTGTTTATGGGTGCACATGCACTGAGTGACCCCCTAGAATCCTAGACCTCTGCTGTCCAATATGGTATCTATTAGCCATGTTTAAATTTAAATTACCAGGAAATAAATGAGTATTCAGCTCCTCAGACACACTAGCCACATTTTAGGGCTCAATAGGCTCACTGCCCAGCAGCTACCATATTGGACAGCATAGATACAGAACACTTCCACCATCACAGAAAGTTCTAGACTGTCAAGGAATGGAAGGGACCCCGGGCAGCTTCTTTTCCTCAGGACTTCTGAACAGGGTACGGAGCCAAGGCCTAGAGTAGGGGTGTCGAACTCAATCAGAGAAGGGGCCAAAATCTAAAATCCAGCCTAAATCGCGGGCCGAATGGTTTACTAACAGTCATAAACTGTCATTGTGATGGAAACGCAGCGGAGTGCAGTGATGACAGTGCGGTGCGGGCCACATTGCAAGGCCTGGCGGGACGGATTTGGCCCGCGGGCCTTGTGTTTGACACATGTGGCCTAGAGAATGGAAGTAACTTGCCTAAGGTTCCACGGCAAGTGTGTGGCAGCCAGAAGGAGGTTTGTGACCAGGACAAATCTATCAGCGTCCTGACCTGGGTGTTTAAAAAGTCCCCAACCATCGTGTGGTAACAAGAGAGAGAAAGCTCTCTCCTCAGAGGGTCAGGGGATGGCAAAGGAGACAGGAGGGGAGAGGGCGGGGGCTCGGACCTCCTCCCCTCCGCCCGCCCGCAGGGAAGGGGGACTCACACACTGTCTCCCTGGATGAACAGCTCCGGCCGCTCTTTTAGCAAATTCTTCTTGATCCAGACCAGGAGGCTCCGGATGTCCCCTGGAGGAAGGCACAGAACAAACCACTGTCAAAGCCACGTTATCCTGCTGCCCGGGGCCTGGCCCGCCCCAGAAGGAAGGGAACTCGGGCTCTGTAGAGCAGGCTGTCATGGCCCTGAACTCGGGGATTCCCAAGTGAGGGAAGGAGTGGGCTAGCAGAGTCAGGGACCTGCAGGGGGGTCACCTAGCTCACTGAAGGCTTGAGGAGGCAGGAGGAACTGTCACATCTGAAGGGTTGGGAGACAGAGCCCCACCCACGAGTACTGGAAACTGGTCTGGAGCTGCCCCAGACCGGCTTTTGAGAGGCCCTAAGAGCCCCCTCCACCGTCCTCTGCCCAGCCAGTCCTGGGTTCGGGTGGGGGGCGGATTCCGCTCTGCTCCTGGAGGGGTCTGCATATATTTCCCTTTGTGAGGGCAGAGAAACAATTGCCGAGCTGATACCATCAGTTAATTTCCTCCAGCAGAGGGAGAAGGATCCTTCACCAGAGAGAGCTGACAAATCACTGCCCCTGACGCCCCCACACAGAGCCCTCCCCTCCCTGGGCTGCGGGCAGCACCCTGAAGAGTGGGCCTCCTGCTCCTCCGGACACTGACACCTGCCGCTGTGTGTGGGACGGCCACCTAGCTCTGTGCACATGATGCGGAGGCTCAGGGCCTCTGTCCCCAGGGCCCCCTCTCCTTTCCCAGGCACGCCGAGACCTGGCTCTACAAGCTCCTCGGGTGCCACCTACTGCTCCTCAACGGTCTCCTGAGGCTGCTGGAGCTCCTTCTCGCCCAGACAACCCCAGGCCTGAAGGCCAAGGAGAGCCCTAGTGTTGGGGAAGCCAGTGGAGGGCTTGGGGCTAGCCAGTCACCCCACCCTGAGGGAATGTCTCAGGCCAAGCTGGAGAAGGGCCCAGGCAATGCCTTGGTTTCGGTGCCCGGAGTCTGTCCTGGCACGCTGGTGAGGGAAAGGCTGTGGGGCGAGGCAGGCCTGGCAGCAGGTCACACACACACACACACACACACACACACACACACACAGGAGCAGCATTGCTGGGTTGTAAGACTCTCAATGGCCTGCATACCAGCCTCCCGGAGGCAGACAGGCTGTACACTGGTCCAACCAGCTCACTCTGCTCCCTGCCAACTTCCCTGGATCATATGCCAGAAGAGCACGGGACCATGGGCAAAGTGTCCATGGGCTGGGATTGCCACCTTAAAAATTCCTGTCAAACAAAGCAGACGAGTCCGCAGGGTCCTCGCAGTGGGCAGGGATGGGGAGCATTGCCTGCAACTGGCTGCAGTCCATTTGGCTGTCTGGCTGTCTCCCGAGGCCTGAGCCTGAGGTTTCCCCTTGGCCTCCATCTTGGCACTGTCTGGGGGGCCGCCAGCCCATACATCTTGTGGCCGCTCGATAGAGCCGCCGGAGTCTGACACATCCATCAGCCAGCCCTGGCGGCAGGGTTCTGCCTGTGTGTGCGGAGGCAGAGAGGGACTGGGCAGGGCCTGGCCCTCAGGCCACCAGCTGCACCTCCACAACCTGGCCGTCCGGTACAGAACCAGCCCCAGTTGTGTAAAAGGAAGGGGCCGCCATTTCACTCTGGAGATGCTGGGGGGGGGGGGGGGGGATAGTAGTCAGGCCGGGGTCATCAGAGTGATGGCACCATCCTGCAGTCCCAGAGGGGTGGGCTCGGGGTGAGTCTGCTGCGGTGCTGGCTCATTTATCATGATGCTCCTCTTTGCTGAGGTCATTCCCTCCCTCCACTGCACCCCTCAGGCCTGCCCACATTCTTGATAACCTGTTACCATGGTGAGGCCACCGCATCACCATTCTTATTGTTCCCCCATGCCTGGATTTGGGGGTGGGGAGAGATAGGACTCAGAGCAGGCTGCAAGGGCCACTAGGCCTGGCCTCAAACACCCCCTCCCCCCCAGGGACATCTTGCTAGGCTTGCTGAGGCCCAGACAATATGCAAATGGCCTCCAAGCCAGATGGTCGGCTTCCAAAGGCACCCAGGGGAGCAGGAAGGGTTAAGCAGAGCCAGGGGCTGGTGGCTTGAGGATGGCTCTGGGGAATCTCACTTTTACCTTCCCACTGTGTCCTCCTGCCTTCCCGCTGCTACAGAGGGTGTTTTTCCTGCCGGGATCCCATGCAATCGTTCTCAATATAAATATTTACTGAGCAACTAGTAGTGGCAGGTGCTAGGGAGATGGGGGTGAGCAAGACAGACACGGCCTATCCTCATGGAGCTGACAAGCCAGACATTGCTTATTGAATGAGTGATGATAAATGCTCCTTTGTGTAGGACTGGGAAGACTTTTCTGAGGATGTTAACATTGATGCTGAGGCCTGAAGAATGAGGGTAGGATGGGGGAGCAGAAGGAAGAACATATGGGAAGACCTGAGGCAGGAAGGAATTGGCAGGTTCAAGAGAAGGCAAGAAGATTGGCATAAACGGTGTCAGGGGCCAGATCTGGCAGAGACTTCACTCTCCCCGTGAACCCCAGGGGAATTCACCAAATCCATGCTCCGAGGGCACAGAACCCACGCTGCCTGGAACTGTTCTCCGTGTTTCTCTGCCCCGACACAAGTAGCAAGATTCAGCTCAAATGTAGGACAGTCACCAGTACCAGAGTGCTGAGGACCCAGCGCGGGCCCAGCACACAGCACAGAGCCTTACGAACAGCCCTGGACTCCATCACTTCTGGTCATGTGACCTTGAGTAAAGGTTTCATGAGCCTCAGCTTCCTTCTTTGCGAAATGGGGTTGTTAAGAGTCTCTCAGGACGGTTGTGAGGATCGAGTGAGATGATTCACATAAAGCCCATGGCACTGTGCCCGGCATATCAATGCTGTAATTCTGTGATTCAGAAGAACCTATACCTTCTGCCCTTCTCGATGCCCAGAGCTTCTACACTCTGCCCGGGGTCAGCACCCTGGGGACATGCTCAGACCACTTTGAAGAATGGGGTACAGTCAGCCAACCATTAATCAGACAGTGCTGGGATTAGCTGGGATTTTTTTGTGCAATTCACTACCTTTCTTTTTTAAAATCCTCATCCAAGGATATGCTTTTATTGATTTTAGAGAGAGCAAGGGAGAGAGAAACATCACTGGATTGCCAACCATACATGCCTGAACTGGGGATTGAAGTGCAACCTAGGTATGTGCCCTGACTAGGAATCGAACCCACAACCTTTTGGTGTATGGGACGATACTCCAACCAACTGAAACCCCCTCACCCCCCCGGGAGGAGTCACTAACTTGGAGAGTGTGATGGAGTCCCTGACACTGGCCTTCTCTCTATTTTAGATGTTCAGACCCTATGATGCTGCCAAACCGGCTAGAAGGAACCACATCCCGAGGCCTTGAGTGCTAGAGGCCTGGGCTGGCCTGCCCACTGGGGAAAAGCAGTGATAAGTGACGGGGCTGCTTGCTGCTCTGTGGCGGAGTGGTTAAGGATTTGGTTTCTGGGGCCGGAAGTGTGTGCTAGATGGCCTTGGATAGGAAGTCACTTTACCCCTCTAAGCCTCATGTCATCCTCCGACAATTTGGAATGAGAATCCAACCACCAAAGAGTTGCTGTGAGGACTCAGGCCTAAGGCTAGCAGCAGGCCAACACGGCATCACACACACAGGACAAATGTACATTTGCTGCCAAAACCGGTTTGGCTCAGTGGATAGAGTGTCGGCCTGCAGACTGAAAGGTCCCAGGTTCGATTCCAATCAAGGGCATGTACCTTGGTTGCGAGCACATCCCTGGTAGGAGGTGTGCAGGAGGCAGCTCATCGATGTTTCTAGCTCTCTATCCCTCTCCCTTCCTCTCTGTAAAAAAACAATTAAAAAAAAAATATATATATATATATTTTTTTAAAATGTACATTTGCCCAGTGAGTTAGGAGTCCTTATCCTCTGGGCGTCCAGAGCCTCCGAAAAGCTGCTGGCAATAGGGCACCGTGCATGCCCCTTAGAGAGCACCTAAAAGGGCTCCACCCTCACCCCTCACCCTGCTGGACTTTCCTTGTCTGGGAACACTGGTTACCACTGTTATAGCCCCCACCACCACTACCAGTGTCAAGCCTAGATTCTCAGGCTGAAAGAGAACAATCTCAAGGTCTTATCAGATATTGAATCCTGGCTGCAACAGACCCTCATCCAGCCTCTGAACGCTTCAGGGAGCGTTTCCCCCAACCAGAAATCTATCTTCCTGTCATTCCCACTGAGCCTGGCTGGTCCACGGGGACCAGGCCAACAAATGTGTCCCCTCACCCCACGCCTGCCTTGCGCATTTGGGAGAGATGGATCCTGAATTTTCTCTTCCACAGGTTAAACCACTCAAGTCCCCACCAAGTCTACGGGGCTCCAAGACAAGGCTCTTCTGGGAGCCCACCCCAGGCCTCAGTTGAAAAGGGCAAAGAATGAGCTGGGATGGGGGGAATAAAAGAGAAGAGAGGGTAGAGGGAACATCAGAGGGTCCATTTACAAGTGAAAGGGGGTAAGAAAGGAGCAGTTTGTGGGCTAAACTGGCCTCAGAAGGAGGTTTACAGATGTGCAAAGGGACGCTCCTCATTGTTTAATTAAGCAGAAAGTGGATCTTTTCAAAAGCAATTTTGCACAGGGACTGGGGGGGGGGGGTTGAGGGGGAGAGGATGGCAGTGGGGAGGGGATCTGCAAACAGGCCGAGAGCAAAGAAAGGAACAGCTGGCCCAGAGAGGCTGTGAAATGCATACTAAGCAGTTTAAAGCACAGGGAGCCCTCCGGCTCCTACCCTCCCCATCAGCCAGCCTTTAGCACAATGGCGGGACAGAGGAAGAGGGGCAGGGAAAGGTGAGGCCAACGCGTCTCCCCCCGGGGGGTCAGGGCAGGTATTGCCCCTGGTGGGGCAGCCTGTCTACTGGTGTTTCGGGTTTGCTCCAGGCCACTGACCATGCACAGGCTGGAAGCCTTGAGCTGAAGGGATCCTTGAAGCATAAAAGCCAGCGGCCACAATGCCCAAAGCTGGTGGGTGCCCAGATGATCTGTTCCATGGAAATGGCTATTAAGATGCCGCCCTGCAACAGTGGTGGGGAACCTTTTTTTCTGCCAAAGGTCATTGGTGTATTTACAGCATCATTTGTGGGCCATACACATTTATCAACTTAAAAATTACCTCTTAGATTTGGTCAAACATTTAATGAACTCACTCCTAATGCCTTGGCAGGGCCAGACCAAATGGTTTCCTGGACCCTATGTGGCCACAGACCAGATGTTCCCTATCCCTGCTGCCCGGAATGGTACACTTGCCTTGGAAGTAATGTTTCCAAAGGTAGATGTCTGATAGATAATAACCGAACCAACGAAGATGAGACCCAGCCCCCCTTCCGCTTACAGACGGAAGCCAGGCTCACAGAGGGAAGTGACTCGCTATCGTGCAGCGCCAGGCTCGGCTCTTGCAGTGTCACCCACTTTGGCTTTGCCCATCCTCTTCCCCCAAACTGGCCGCCGGGTTGGAAGCTGTCCCCTGGCCCCAGACCCAGGGCCCTGGAGTTTCCTTGTTTGTGAGACGTGTCACAACCCATAAACTTATGGCTGCTGTTTTCTCTGCTGGAGCCTGCAGGACCTACTTGGCCAAGTGGCAGCCCCTGGGCTGGGAAGGCTGCCAGACAACAGATCTGGGCACGGGCCTGGGAGAAGAGTAAGACTCTCCCAGTGGCAACTGCTGGGCTCCCGGGTGCCAGGGTAAGGCCTGGCCGCTGCCAACCAGCCCTGTGGCTGTGATGTGACCCAAGCCTCTGGGCACAGCAGGGCAAAATGGGAACCAGAGGTAGAGTAACAGCCAGGGGCCCAAAGACTGAGCAAAGGGCCCGTTTCCACTTCCCTCCAGCCTCCTTTTCTGTCATTCAGAGGGAAGGCTAGGCAGCAAATGGAGGGCGAGGGATCAAAAACCTGGTTAGCCCACCCTCCCTACTTGAGTAACTCTGGACAGGTCTCCTTTCTCTTGGTTTGGTTTCCTTGGTGATGGATAATATTTACTGGGGTCATTATGAGAATCAAAATAAGTAGCTGTTGAAAGCAGGAATATAAATGAATCAAAGTGTAAAAACTGTAAAGTACACTGCAGGTGTGAGATGTTACGTGAGTCAGGGAGCCTCTTAGGGTAAATGATGATGAGTTAGAGGCACTATGCAAGGACTCTGGAGACCCTGAAATCTGGTTCTGAATCCCAGCTCTGCCATTTAAATAACTGTATGACCCTAACTGGTTTGGCTCAGTGGATGGAGCGTTGGCCTGCAGACTGAAGGGCCCCGGGTTCAATTCCAGTCAAGGGTGTGTGCCTTGTTTGCGGACATGTCCCCAGTGGGAAGTGTGCAGGAGGCAGCTGGTTGATGTTTCTCTCTCATCGATGTTTCTAACTCGCTATCCCTCTCTCTTCCTCTCAGTAAAAAAATCAATAAATATATTTAAAAAAAATAATTGTATGATTTGGAGGAAGACACGTGACACCTGAGTTTGGGTGGCCACTTTTAAAAACGGAATGACAGCTACCGCCTAGGAATCTGTGACAATTATGCGCACAACCAATTGGGGCTTTGCCAACCATGCCAAACTCAGCCCGCGCCCCTCACGACACTGGACCTCAGTCCCTTGACCATCCTGAGGCCTTTCACCCGGGCCTTCCCAAGTGCTGTCTGCTTTGCTTGAAGCAGCCCCAGGCCTCTGCTGTCCTCCCATTTACTGGGCCGGCTCCTTTCATCCTCAGGGCTTAGCCGCCAGGTCACCTCTTTAAAGAGGCTGTCGTCTAACTCACAGCACCCTTCTACTCTCAGGCCCGTGACAACCACCTGCATTTATGTCTTATGTATTGTATTTACTTGTTTATTGCCTGGCACCACTTCGTAAGCTCCATTATTAGGGCAAGAACCATATCTGTTCCATTACCACCAAATACCCAGTAACTAGTACTATGTCTGGCACAAAGGAGGCACTCAAAATAATACAGGCCAACCACAGGAAAGAATAAAGTACTAGCATTCGGTGAGCATTTGGCCAATGAATAAATAAAAAGGGCTGGAATTATTAAACTTGGGGACATTCGTGCCATGCAAATGGAGGGGAAAATAAGTAATAATTTGTGGTATTTTATTTTATTTTATTTTTATTTATTTATTTATTTTTAATATATTTTATTAATTTTGTACAGAGAGGAAGGGAGAGAGATAGAGAGTTAGAAACATCGATGAGAGAGAGTCATCGATCAGCTGCCTCTTGCACACCCCCTACTGGGGATATGCCCGCAACCAAGGTACATGCCCTTGACCGGAATCGAACCCGGGACCCTTCAGTCCCCAAGTCGACGCACTATCCATTGAGCCAAACTGGTCTCGGCAATTTGTGGTATTTTAATCACTGCCCAGCCAGGTCTTTAAAGCTTCTTCTGAGAGCCTCTTTCTCCCTCTCAAAGTTGCATGGCCATCTGTCAAACTAAGAAACAATCACCTTCATCATCCTGGCTCTTTCCCTACCGAGGACACACACAATCCCACAACCCTGACATTTAACCCAGCCTCATCCCTACCCTGTTCCTTGGTGAGTGACCCCCAACCTCTGAATGTGACACGTGGACCTACCTTGTGCCACTGCTCTCAGACCCGAGGGAGGATCAGAGATAGCCGTGGCAGCCAGGGGATCTGGGGAATAATTGTTGGATTCCTGGCAGATGAACATCCAGTTCTGGAAGAATCCTGTCAATCCTCACTGATTTTTTTCCTCTGCCTGCTTCCAGGAACCTCATTCCCCTGCCTCCTACTGACTGATGTCCTCTTCTCCCCTGAAGCGCCTAGGCCCTAGGTAAAATGGGCTCTCAGTCCTGAGCATTCTTCTCTGGGGAGGACTCACAGCTAGGAACGTGGTGTATCTCCACGGTGATACCACCCTGCCTCTAGGCTACACTGATATTTACCCAGCTGGACCTCTTCAACACCCCCCCCCCCCCCCCCCCCCCCGAGTTTGAAGGCAGGGACTGGCTCTCATTCATGCTGTCTCCCCAGTGCCTGGTACACGGTCTGCCACACAGCAAGTGCTCAGTGTATGTTTGTTAAAGAAAGATGAGCAAGTATTTAAATGGACAAATGAAAAAAGCCCATTGTCTCCCTCAGTCATCCTCCCTCCTCCAGCCTCCTTTTTAGCTGGCTATCTTTTTCTCATCTAAATCCTCTTACCATAATGTGAGCCCAAGTGCATTTCCCCATTCTCGTTGAAGATTCCCACCTTCTTGAGAACATCTCTCTGCTGCCATATCTATACTAATAAAAGGGTGATATGCTAATTAGACCAGGTTGACTGGACATCTTCCGGACGTCCGACTTCCTTCTGGACAGTTAGGGGGTGACCAGGCCAGCAGGGGGGCAGTTAGGGGGCAACCAGGCCAGCAGGGGGGGCAGTTAGGAGGGCAAGCAGGCCAGCAAGCAGAGGCAGTTAGAAGCGATCAGGCAGGCAGGCAGCTGAGTGATTAGGAGCCAGCGGTCCTGGATTGTAAGAGGGATGTCCGAGTGCCATTTAAACTGTAGTTGGACATCCCCCGAGGGGTCCCGGATTGGAGAGGGTGAAGGCCAGGTTGAGGGACCCTCCCATGCATGAATTTTGTGCACCAGGCCTCTAGTAATAAGAATAAAGTAGCTTGGTTGGTTAAAGCATTATCCTGATACACCAAGACTGCGGGTTTAATTTCTGATCAGGGCATATACAAGAAGCAACAAATGAATCCATAAATAAGTAGAACAACAAATCAACATTTCTCTGTTCCTTCCTCTCTCAATAAAGGAAAATGTTTTAAAAATTAAATTAGTAGAGATGCTCCCTTTAACAACCATGAGAGCTAGAGATTACCAAGCCCACTTCACAGATAAGAACACTAAATCTAAGAGAGGTGAGGGCACAGCCTAAGGTCCTAAGGGGATACACACTTCACCCACATTCATAAAGACTTACCCTGTTTCCCCGAAAATAAGACAGAGTCTTATATTAATTTTTGCTCCCAAAGATCTTATTTTTCCATGCGCTAGGTCTTATTTTCGGAGGATGTCTTATTTTTGGGGAAACACGATAGGTACCCCATCACCTTCCTGCAAAGCTGGCTGGTCTGAGAGAGGATGGGGAAGGGTACTCTGGTGGTCTCTCTTCCTCCTTCCCTCTGGCCAGGAAATCTGACTATTCCCACCTGAACGGGGTTGAATGACCCGTAGACGCCCGCCCAGTGTACCAGAGAGGGGCTCAGATACCCGTACTCACAGGGCTCCTCCTGGCCAGGCAAGGTGACCTGATGCTTTTTCACACCGTCGAACAGGAGCTCCGCGCCACCTCTGTAAAGGAGGGCCAGAGAAAGACAGCCAGTCAGTTCCTGCAAACACCTCGCTGAGGATGAAAACTGAGGAGGGGGCTGGCACCGAAGCCCACGAGATGCCGAGATCCATGGTTCAGGAACACCGTGAGTACCAGTGACTGATTCTCCAATGTGACTTCCTGATGTGGTAAAGGAGGATATAAATCATTTTTACCAATAACCCAGTATCCGATTGCAGACTCTTGTTTTTACTCCTCTGCTTTCTCAAGAGGCAGCTTAGCATACAGGTTCAAGTTGATGCTTTCCGCCCCGAGATGGAGACCAGCCTTCACTCCTACCTGACACCCAGACCCTGGGCATGTGACTCCATGTTCTCAAGCCTTAGCCTTTCCATCTACAGAAAATGTGGAGACGCCACATGAGTTACACTGCAGACCCTGTATGTGGCCAGGTGAGGGTTTGGAATGGCCCTGCTGTGCCAACCACTGCTGGCTGGTGGCACACCACAGTGCCGGAGGTAAGAGATTTCACCAGGTTTGGCAATTTACAAGACCATTCTTCATCTCATCTCATCCTCAGGGCATCCCAGGGAAGGAAGCGAGGCAGACATTATTGACGCCATCCAAGGGAGAAGCAGGAGCCTGAAGCAGTGACTTATCTAAAGACAGAGAGGCAGTGGCTGAACTAAGTTTTGAAGTCTAACTGGTTTCTGCTTAGCCCTGGCAGCCTTAGCAGAAACCCCCGCCCCCCCCCCCCCCAAAGGTCAGAAAGCCCCTTGAGGGCAGGATTTGGTTCACTTCTGAACAAACCAAGTGAAGGCTGACAACTCCAGAAGCCTGGGCTGATGGTGTGGACACCAGGACTCTTTCGATGCCCCATCCTGCTCTCCCCCTGGGTCTCCAGAGTCCACGCAGACTTAACTGAGAAGGCCTTAACAGGCCCTAACAAGATGCGAGGCCGCCCTCCCTACCCCTCTTGCCCAATGTCAGAGAACAGAGATGTCCTGAGACATTCTGCTGGGAGGCAAAGGCAAGGCGAGCATTGTCACGGGGAAACATGGGGCGACTGTCGTCCAAACAAGGTTATGCTTTGTCGATGCAGAAATGTGGAGGGGGAGAGGAGGCCCATCTGTGGCGGCGCGCAGGGCCATCTCAGCTGCAAGCCTGCACAGAGCCTTCATTTATCCCCTTCCAAGCGCCTCGTTCCCCCTGGGTGGGGGCTGGCACGTGCAGCAGCTGGGGTGGGGGAGGGCCACAGGCAAGGGGCTCGGAAATTGGGGGGTCAGAGAAAAGGGGTGGGAGCTGGAGACATTGGGACCCAGGCAAACAACCAAGAATGGCCAAACCTGGTGGTGCCAGGCTCAGAGGCTGAGCCTGTGTTTCCCTTCACAGGCAGATGAAGAGAACCAGAGAGTGACCTGACTCAGAGAGTGACCTGCCACTGCTGGGTTCGCTAGCTCACCGAGAGGGGTTTCTGCTGACAGCACACCTGGGGGGGAATAAGGTGTGTGCCCAGCCTGGAGTGACACAGAGAGGCAGGCAAGGGACCTGTTTTGGCCCCATTAGAGAACCAAAGCCAGACTCTTATGTCTGACAGAGTTTGCTTTTCAGAGTCAGTTAAGGAATTGTATCTTAAGATACCTCATCTTTCTTCCACTCCTCAGTTCTTGGTGGGAGTGTTTCTTGGTACCAGTGACTAGTATAGACATTCGCAAAATTGCCTTCACTTTTTCTAGCTTATCATCTTCTTATCACACACACACACACAAACGTACATACATATATGAACATATTTTTATTGTTTTCAGAAAGGAAGAGAGACGGAGATAGAAACATCAATGAGAGAGAATCATTGATCGGCTGCCTCCTGCACCCTCCTACTGGGGATCGAGCCTGCAACCTGGGCATGTGCCCTGATCAGGAATCGAACTGTGACCTCCTGGTTCACAGGTTGATGCTCAACTACTGAGCCACACCGGCTGGGCTTATCTTATATTCTTCAAAATTTATTTCTCCTCTGCCAGGTGGAATGCAAGCTCTGCCTAAAACAAGGCCTGACACACAACGGGCACTCAGTTTGCCATGAGTGAAAATGCCCATTTCTCCCAATTCTTCTCTAACTTCGTTCCCTCCCTTTGTCAATCCCTCCAGACTCAGGAAGGAGGAAAAGAGAAAAGGAGGAGGGAATCTCACATCTGCACCACAGGAACAAAACACACCTCTACTACAGACTTTGAATCCTGTGTGACCGAAGAAAATGGTCTGCTCAGGACAGTTGAGGAGGGAAGACAAAGGATGGCAGAACTGGTTACGAGTGAGAAACGTATAAGTGGTCTTCTGGATCAGAGCTGGTAGGACTGGAAGGACATCTGCCCAAGGGGGAGAGGCTAAGTCCGCACACAGACTCTTCAAGGATCACAGTGGCAGTTTCTATGCAGATCTGCTAAGGTTCGGAGTGAAGGGTGAGGGGAGTCTGCTAAGAATCGTAGGAAATTAAAGAAAGGCCTGGGACAAGACCAGGCATTGAGAAAAGAACAGAGAGAGAAGGTATTTGGGTTTGGTACGCATCTTGGGCATTCCTGCTTTCCTGAGAGGCTGCGATTCTCATGGGACACTGTGGTGGTGGATGGAGGTGTTAGGAGGTGGGTAAAAGGGTGCAGGAATTTTTGGGGTTCACTGTTGCTCTTGGGGATAAGGGAGGCTGAGGCTAGACATAATCCAGCCAGGAAAGGGGTAATTAAGCTAGTCTATAAGCTCTGGAGGGCAAGGACCATATTTTCTTCACAGGAATTCCCTACTGCTGACAGACAGAAGACATTTTTGTTCAACAAATACCATGTCTGACTCAGTGAGACTGAAAGGTTAGGTTGGCTGTAAACCTTAACACTGGCAGTCGGCAGCTTTCCCATTTTCAGCTCTGCTAAGGCCTGTCAAAGCAGCAGGGATCTCCTAGAACCTCTATGCTATGGAGGCCATGGCTGGGCCAAGGGTCAGTGAAACAAAATAATCAGGAGTCCAAACCAGTATGGTCCTAACTGAATCCAAGGGACTAGACAACATCAATTAAAATGCATTTAACATTCATGAGACTGCCTCCTCCTAAGGGCCAGAAATGCTGAACACTGGAGAACATGGACAGAGTTCTGTTTATCTTTGTATCCTGTGTCTGGCTCACTGCCTGGGCACATGGTAGGCACTAATAAATGACTAATGAATAAACTACCCAATGAAGGGAGAGCATGAAAGAAACTGGGGGCATCCAATATAAGAAAAGGCATTTAGGGACAGAGGTTTTAGATTTCCATTTCAGACTTTTCTTTTCACATAAGCCTTGGCTTGTTTACAGTCCTCCCCACACCCCCACTCTCTCTCACTCTCTCTCTCTCTCTCACACACACACACACACAGCTTCCATATGACTGGAAATTACACCACCCATCTCTTAGGGTCTCAGTTCCTTTGCCTTCTAAGCTCTGCAGTTTCTCGGAGCTCTGAAATCATATATAGAGGACAGAGAATAGTGGTTTGAGGAGGCATCCTCTCTGATCATTGTTTCTTCAGCTGATGTTATGCATACTCCAACTCCTGTACTTTTCATCTGTGCATACTGTATTCTCAGGGTTAGTCTTCTCCACTGCACTGCTTATCCCTGTATCTCCACCTGACCTCTGACAGTCTCAGTCCATTTCTTGAACGTCCTAAACGGGGCTGAGGTGTGTTTAACACCACACATCTTGCGAAAGAGAAGGAGTCTCGTCTTGGCCACACATCCCACGAGAATCAAGGCTTCAAGAACCGTGTAAGGGGACTTGCTGCCAGAAAAAAAGAATGCATGAGTGTAGGTGGTCCTTCTCGGCTCCACATCAGGTGCCAGACACATGGGCCTGGTCCAAAACGGGGTTGGCAAAGAAGGGACGTAGCACGCCTGCCAACCATCACGCCTTTTGAGTCCGGCAGGATGGAGGCCACTGAGGAGTGTCCGGGGCGCACCTCCACGCCCGGACGTGCGCCTCTATTCCCGGACTTACGGCCCCGTCGCCAAAGGAGACCAAGCCTCTCAGACCCTCCAAGGCGGGTGGCGTAGCTCAGAGAACGCGCCAGAAACCTCAGACACTCGGTCACGACAGGCCCCAAAGCAGAGGGAGAGGCGTCCTGGGCCTGAAGACTTCCATCCACCCCCACGGCGCCCCCAACTCTGTGACTCACCCGAACTCCACCTCCACTGATAAGGGCGCTGCCATGTTGAGGAAGCCGAGGTCGCAGGAAACTCCCTTCAACTTCCGGCGCTCCCGCCACACTTCCGGTTCCGCGCACGGAAGAGGCGGTGCCCAGGGAGCCGTTGTCCTCAGCTATTGGAGAAAGGCCCCGAGTGGGCGGGGCAGGTCACGGGGCCGGGGCAGGGGGTGGTCCTTTGAGTTGGTCCCTCTCCGTCCTTTAGGGAAGGGGCTCAGACCCCCAAGGTAGACAGCGACTTGGAAGCCACAGCCGGGCGGAGGAGAGCCCGCCGCATCTTTGCGCAGCGACTGTGAGCCACGTTACTGTGTGTCTTGGGATTAGTTACAAATATCTTGTCCGCACACCGCTTGCGCGAGCCCGTCCACTTTATTCTGTAAATAAAGATTGACCCCTCCAATCTTTATTTACAGCCCAGAAATCTCTCTCCTGGGCTATCGGCTCGCCATCCAACCCCCCATTTCACTCAGTCTGTAGCTATTTATTGCCCGTCCTCTGTGGACCAGGCATCTTGGTGGGTGCTGTGGGTGCAGTGGTGAACCATCCTGCAATGGGGCAACCACAGTTTAGTGGGGGAAACTAACACTGATCATGTAAACATATCAGCCTTCCTAGTAAATGTAAAAAACCTCAAAGAAGTGACTCAGTTTGAGCTGAGCTTTTAAAGCCTGAGAATTATCGAGGTGGATGTCAGGGGAGAGAAACCTCCGGGAGCGTTCCAGTATGGAGAACGGAAGGTGCATAGGCTGTGGGTGGGAGAGCATGCTGGATCAACAAGACCGGAAGGTGCAAACTGGGGAACAGAGGACCTGATCAAACATGAGGCTAGGAAAGGGGGCAGGGATCAAGTCATGCCTTGTGAGCCAGGGAAGAATTTCAGTCTCTATTCTAAGGACACTGGGTGGCCTTTGGAGAGTTTTAAGAGGGGGCGACATTAGAACTGTTGTAAGATATCTTTCTGGCTGCAGTGTGGAGAATGGTTCGGAGAGGAACAAGGAAGGAGACGGGGAGACCGCTGGAGCCTGGTACAGAAGCTCCGGGCACAAATGGAGTGAAGTGGATGTCTCAGGGTATGTAAACCACAGCGCTTCCAAAATCGAGCTGGGCACTGGTAGAGGATGGTGGTGCAGTCTGCTGGTTAAGGGCAGAATGATGTAATGGTTAAAGGTTGAGTTCAACTGCCAGCTTAATATCTGGGCCCCACCACTTCCTAGCTGTATCTTTGGGCAAGTCCCTAAACTTCTTCGTGCCTCAGTTTCCTCGTCCATAAAACAGGGATAATAACAGCCCCGACTTCATAGGGGTTTTGTGAGGACTAAATGAGTTTTTGGCTCAGTGCCTTTCCCCAAAAAAGCTCTCACTGTGTTCCCCTTCTCAAATATACCACTGCCCCCCACTGCAACACTCAAACAGAAAACCTTGGACATTGTTCTGCACCCTCTCCTACATCCAGTCACCAAATTTGGACAAATGAGACCCAGCCCTGGTTCTCAAACTGCAAAGGAATCCCATGTAAACGGAGAGGCCCACAGTCACCATGTTGGATAGGTCACACCTCCTCTCTGGAACTCAGTTTCCCCAATCTAGAAAAAAGGTTTAGTACCAAAGGATCTCCCCCCCCCCCCCCCCCCCCCCCGCCTCAGAACCAAAGGATCTTAAAGTCCTTTCAACAAAAATATTCTTCTTAGATTATTTCACTGGATCCAGCTCCCCCAGCGTATAAACCTTGCCTGATTCATTTTTGATCCCTAACTCATGGTATTTATATTGCACATTGTTTGGGGTCTGGTAAGTGCTTGCTGAATGAATGAATGAATGAATGAACACATATCACTCCCCTGCTCAAAATCATTTAATGGGCTTCTCTTTGCTAACAAGACAAGGGCCTTCCCAGAAGTCATTCAGGAGTTCTTTGGGCCTCTGATCCCAGCCTACCTCTGAGTTGACTATCCTCAGCCCTGGGAACTCCCACCTCTTGAACTGGAGAGCTGAGGAGCATTTGAAGAGCTTCATCCATTTCACAAACATTCACTGAGCACGCATTAAGTGCCAGGCAGTGCTGTGCAGGGAATACAATGGTGAACAAAACCAATGGGGTCCCTGCCCTCAAGGGCTGATGTTCTAGGTCAGCAGTCACCGACTGGTGGTCCGTGAGGTCTGAAAGGTTGGCAACCACTGTTCTAGGAGACACAGATGAAAAGAAAAAAAAAAATGTATAGCCGAAACCGGTTTGGCTTAGTGGATAGAGCGTTGGCCTGCGGACTGAAGGGTCCCGGGTTCGATTCCAGTCAAGGGCATGTACCTTGGTTGCGGGCACATCCCCTTTGGGGGGTGTGCAAGAGGCAGCTGATTGATGCTTCTCTCTCAATGTTTCCGGCTCTCTGTCCCTCTCTCTTCCTCTCTGTGAAAAATCAATAAAATATATTAAAAAAAAAAAAGAAAAAAGAAAAAAAAAAAAGTATAAAATGGCCCTGGCTCCTGCTCAGTGGTTAGAGCACCGGACCAGGAACCAAAGGGTCAAGGGCACATACCTTAGTTACAGGTTCTCCAGTCCCTGTATGGACATGTGCAGGAGGCACCAACTGATTTGTCACTCTCACTTTGATGTTTCTCTCTCTTTCTCCACCCCCCCCCTCTACTCTAGAAATTAATGGGAAAAAAATATCTTCAGGTGAGGATTTTTAAAAAAACAAACACAAACAACAACAACAACCCAGACTCAGTTGTTGAGTATCAACCTATAAACCAGGAGATCACGGTTCAATTCCGATCATTGGGGACACATGGCTGGGTTGCGGGCTCGATTCTCAGTAGAGGACATACAGGAGGCAGTTGAGCAATGATTCTCTCTCATCATTGATGTTTCTCTCTCTCTCCTTTCCCTTCCTCTCTGAAATAAATAAAAACATATTTTTAAAAACCAGAAACAGAGCACACAGCACAGTCAGCGTCATGAAGGGGGAGCAGGAGGTAGGGGGGACACTAGGAGCAGAAGGAGGCCCCTAATCCAGCCCCGGAGGTCACTACTAAACCCCAATCCAAAGGAATTGTGGGGGTGGGGAGGGAGCCGGTGCTGGGAAAGCCAGATTCCCTCCCTCCCGGAGCAGTGGGGATCCTTCCCCATCTCCACAGGCGGGGCCACCAGCTTCTCCTGGCTTAGCCCCGGAGACTGGGAGCTGCCTTCCGGATAAATCTGCCATTCTGTGAGTGCCGGGGACTCATTCTGCCCCCGAGCCTACGCCACTCCATGCCCACATTGCACCTGCCAGGTGTTTTACATGAATTACCAGGTTGCTTGCTCACAGGGACTATGAGTCTTATTTTTGAAAAAAAAAATTTTTTTATTGAGTTTAGAAAGAGGCAGGAGGAAACAAACATTGATTTGCTGTCCCACTAACTTATGCGTTCATGCGTTGATTCTTGCATGTGCCTTGATGGGAGATCAAACCCAAAACTTAGGCGTATAGGTACGGTGCTCTAGCTGAGCTCACTGGCCAGGTCAATCCCCTTTTTTCAAATGAGAAACGCTGAGGCCCAGGACCCCTGGAACCCCTAAATGCCGGGCCTCGCCCCAGCTGCTGTGCTTCAGGATTCCTGGCCTCCTCCCTGGACCTCTCTCTGGCAGGGCAGCTCCCCCGAGCCTCCCCCTGGGACCCCGCAGAAGCTTCCACCGCCCCCAGCTCCCCCGGCCCCATCCCGTCCTCTCCGGCCAGCCGGCCAGCCCGGGCGTCGGCCTCCGTCCCTTCTGAAGCTGCTGCGGAGACAAAGGCGGGGCCTGCGGGGGGGGCGAGGGCGCGGGTGCCCCTGCCCGCTGCCCTTTGTCTTCCCGCCGGCTCCCCTCGTGCGACCGGGGAGGCTGGGAGGCGCCTCTCGCAGGCTTCCTCCTCCCATTCTTGTGCTAATTGGGTGTCAAGCTGAGATCAGTGAGAAAGAAATCCACCCCGGCTCGGGTTAAACTGCCGCCAAAGGCCGGCCGAGCCAGAATACCATTAGGCGGAGGAAGCGGGGCCTCCCCGGGGGGAGGGGCCCGCCGCCCATTCAGGTCCTTTGAAAGTCGCTCGCTCGCCCCCTCCTCGGCCGCCGCTTCAATGGGCCCCTCGGAGGTATTTAACCGTCTTCCCAGGAACTGAAAGCGATAGGCCACGCACTGGCTCGGGCGGCCACTTGCCTGTCCCGAGGGCGGCAGGACCTCCGGGGTCGCTGGAGGCAGGCCTCCGGGGCGCAGGCTGCGGATGGGAACCCGGAGGCTCCGGAACGGGGCCTGGCCTCCCAGCGCCACCCTCCACAGGCTCTGCAGTTAACGGAGGGACTCTGACTTCCTGAGCATCAGAATAGCAGCTGCTTTGTTACGGATTTAATGGAGTAGTGCACAGGAAGTGCTTTGCACAATTCCGGGCACCTAGGCAGAGTTACCCACGTGGTGGCTATTAGCGAGTCTGAGGGGCCTTCCCCTGCACACTGGGCCCTCCTAGCGGGCTCTGGAGGTGTGCCATTACACGTGCCCACGGGCACTCATTTTCACATCTAGCCTCGCCTCTCCCCCTTCACTCCCTGGCAGCCAAACTGCACTTCTTTCATCTGCTCTGCCCTCCAGGCCTCTGTTTTGCTGCTCCTTCTGTTCAGAACACTATTCCCCCCAGATTCTTGGCGCTCTTCTTTGAAAAGTCTCTCTGACCTGGAAACACGACCCCCCCTCCCCCTTCTTGTGCTGTCAGGAAGCCAGATTAGGTCAGCTAAGCTAAGCACATACCCTCTGCTGCTTTACTGCCAGCCTCCTCTGCCTTCCCCAGGTAAATCTAGGGCTTGGGTCTTTGTCTTGCTCACCCTCGCCCACTCTACCGCTTGCACAAACTCCTTTAGAATCTGCTCCACAGATGAAGTTACTTGGTGTCCAGTAATAGCCACTGCCATTAACGTCACAAGCACCTACTGTGTGCATGGAGACACCTCACACAGACAGATATGCATGCATGAGGCTGCAAGGCCCAGAGGCCCACCAGTCCCACCTCTTCATGAAGGGGCTGATATGGAAGTGGGGAACTTAGGCCTAGTCTGGGGTCTTAACACCTGAACATATATTCCTTTTTAACTACCATATACTGAGGAGGATTAGCACCAGACCCCATGCTGAGATTTCCATGCATGATCTTATTGCATGTTCACAAAGACAGCGATGTAGGTTCCTTCCGGAGAGAAAACAGGCTGAACCTGACTAACGGACTGGACTTGAACACACGCCTGCCTGCCTCCCCTCCATACTGCCTTTGGGGGCTGTTCAATCTGGAGAAAGGCTTAAGCTCCTTCCCATTGGAGAGCACGCACTGCTGAGGGTTAAAGATACAAGGCCACGCAGTCCTGTGCACTGAAAGGGTTAGGGTTTGATTTCCTGTCAGGGCATATACCAGGTTGTGGGTTTGATCCCTGATTAGGTGCGAATGAGAGGCAATCAATAGATGTTCCTCACATGGATGTTTCTCTCAAATCAATAAAAAATAAATACACATATATATGAAAAGAAAAAAAGATACACAGCCGTGCTCTCAGGCCAGCCCAGCCCCTTGGAAGCCTCAAAAGCCCACCGCAGGGTCTTCTGGGATGGGTAGAGGACCCAATCCCTGCTTCCCACTTGCCGGGGTGAGGCCCGGAGGGATTCTGCAGTCTCTGCACGCCCTCTGCCGGTCACATCAGAGCACTGCAGACATGCCTGGCAACAGCCCACAAGCCCCCTCCCCGCCGCCCAACCCCACTTAGCATCGCTTCCCACTGGGCTAACTGCCATCCACCCCCCACCCCATTTGCCCCCAAGAGAATCACCAGACTCCTTTTCAAAAGTCACTTCCCCAGAAGGCAACCCTCCCCCTGAACGGCCAGCTGCTGGCCTAGGGCGTGGCCCATAGATGCTCTGCAGGCATGTGTGGAATGGGAGTGCTTCTGGCTTCCCTGTTGTCTTCGCACCCGGAGGTGGGTGGAGCAGTGGGAAGGGCCCCCTGGCCTGGGGTTTACATTCCAGCCCCCACTACATGCTATGTGACCTCAGCCAAGTGACACAGTGAAGACAAAAATCAGGGATGCAGTGCCTAATGCCCTGGGCTGGGTCGGACTCCTTTCCCACCAGGCCTTGCGTTCCCAGCCTGGGTGTAACTCCAGTGATGGGGCCAAGGGCACTGCTGACTCTGGAGCCCCGGTAAGCCTGCTCCAGAGAGCTTTCCTGAACTCTGCTAGAGCTCGTTAGGCAGCCCTGCTCTGCCTCGGCAGGGCCTGCAATCCTCCAGGGGAGCGCATCCCAGGAAAAGGGGACAGCATGAGCAAAGGTCTGCAGGGGGGACCCTGCTCTGGGCTAGGTTTCCTCTTTCCAAGGCTCTGAGCAGCCCTTTCCTCATAATGGCTACCTTCAGTTCTGAACCCTCCTTAATCCCATTTCCCTGGTGGAAAGACCGAGTCACTTGCCCAAGACCCAGGTGGGAGCTGTAGCATCTCACCTGCCCTAAGCCCAAAAGAGTGAACAGATGGGTGCGTGAGTGAAGGGGCCAGCGGGGCAGCAGGTGGGGCCTGCATAGGCTGGGAGAGCTCAGGTGGCATGCATACAGGCTGGGGGGAGTCAAGGCAGAGTTTATTGGCCCTTGAGTGCCCCCACCCCTCCTCCCAAAGCCAGGTCAGGACTGAGATGGAGGTGACATGGACAGACCCAGGCAGAAAGGCCCTGCCTGAGGACAGCCACCAGGGAGAGGGGAGGAGGGAGGAGGCGCAGTCGGGCGGCCTGCTGCAGGTCGGGGTCCTCTCCCATCTTCCTTCTGTCTCTGCCCACTCTACTGGCTTCCTGAGTCTGGGGGCTAATGCCCTGGTCCCATTTACAACCTCCCTGGCTCTCGGAGGAGCGCTTGGCAACCCTCCCCTCCCCCTGGCCTGACCCAAGACATCATCCTGAGGGGCCCAGTCAGTCTCAGCCTGGGGCCCTGCCTGGCCTCGAAGACATGGGGCATGAGGCTTTCACAGAAAGCCCTGGGGGAGGGGGAGGCGGCAGTGAGTCACTTGGCAGTTTGAAGGGGGAGGGGGCCAGCACCTCACAGTTGAGGTGCTGGGCCCTGCTTGCTTTGGTCTGGCATTACCCAGGACCCCTTTGGGGTGTGAGCTGGGGCTCTGGACCCAGTATCTGCTGGCCCTGAGGGTCTCAGGGCAAATCACAGTTTCTCCTCGCCAGCCTGGATGCGGGTGTAGGCCTCTTGGTCCAGCGGTAGGTAGCGGCCCTTCCGGGCATCCAGGTAGAACAGCGGGTCTTTCACAGCAGCAGGGTCAAAGCCTTCCTTCCGCAGCTCCGTCTTCTGTAACTTAAACGTCCCTGAGGGAGCAGAGGCCGGGGAGGGAGAATCAGAGGGTGCAGGCAGGGGCTGAGCCCCCGGGAACCCACCCACTGACAGAGGAAGACCAGAGAGGCATAGGAAAGGGCACATGTGGGGCGGCAGATCCCTTTGTAGTTTGCAAAGAAGGCTCCATCCACTTCATTATGTACCGATTCTCAGAGCAGCCCTGCATTACCCACCTCCTTTTTACAAAAGGGGAAACTGAGACCCAAAATATGGGAGCTATTTGTCCACAGCCACATACTGAGTGACAGCAGAGGAAGCAGAACTTGGGTCTCTGTGATGGCTCCTTTGATCTGAGCACCTCCCTGGCATTTAATCTGCTCATCAAACCGTGTCCATCCATATGCTATGGATTCTAAGATGTACATGCTTTCAGATTTTAACATCCCTGAAATAGTGTCAGTGGCTTTTTTTAATGCCATGTTTCCCCGAAAATATGACATCCTCCGAAAATAAGACATCCTCCGAAAATAAGACCTAGCACATGGAAAGATAAGAATCCCCTGAAAATAAGACTTGGCGCAACTTTGGGAGAAAAAATTAATATAAGATACTGTCTTATTTTCGGGAAAACAGGGTAGTATCAAGCAGGGCTGACATGATAACCATGTGGGAGGTGACCAGGCAAGTGAGACCGAGGCTGAGCAGCCAGGGAAGGGCCGGGAAATGAGGAGAGTCGGAGCAGGGCAGCAGGGACTGAGCAGAGCAGGACGGGGGTCAGGCCGTGGACTTCCTGACCACCAGATCACTCCTGAGTCGTCAATGTGCCAACGACAGAAGAATGGCACCGTCTGTCAGGCCACTGTAGACCCACAACTCACCTCTCCCCACGCCCCGCCCTGGCTGCCTGCTACCCCCGCCCCCCATTCCATGCAGCAGCAAGAGGGCTTTGCAGAACCTGAATCTGGCCAGCTACTACCTTGCTCAGCCAATCCTGTAGCTCCCTACTGCCCCCACCCCAGCCCCCAAGGCTCTGGGCTTCCAGCCGTTAGCCCCTCTTCCCCCCTCATGCCACTGCCCACCCCTCACTGACTCCCGCTTTGGGGGCCTTCTTTTACGCCTCTAGTGTCCAAGGTCCTCCTGCCCCAGGCTTCACACTGCTGCTCCCGGAGCCCAGATTGCCTCCCACTGATACAGGCCTCCTTCTCACTCAGGTCTCAGCCTAAACAGTCCTCCGAAACCCCTTCATTCACTTTTCTGCCAGTTTGATCAGAATTCCCTTCTTAATCTTGGAATTCCCTTCCTAAGGCTGTCTCCGCTACTGCGCCAGAAGCTCCCAGAAAGCACAGGTCCCGTCAGAAACCGTTACCTAGGCCCCCAGGGCTTAGCACAGTGTCTGGCATATAGCTAGGACTCAACATTTCTTCCATTAACGAATGGATGAACTTCTCTCTCTGAAGACTCCATCTGCTCACTTGCACACAGGGAGGTCAGTTTATCAACTACCTGGCTAAGCTATGGGTGAAGTTCAAGTGACAGCACCCAGGTCTCTCAAGAAGGAACTGGGAAGGAGCCCGGAAGGAGCCGAGGCCTGCACTGCACGCTGGAGCAGGGGAGACAGACCTGTTTTGTGAAGCTCAGGCATGAGGCGCAGGAAGATGGGACGGGCGTAGAGGGGCAGCTCTTTCTCCAGCAGCTGTGCGAAGCGCTCCAGGTCGCAACTGCCCGAGGGGTTGGCCACAGCAGCCATTCCGGCTCGGCCCTCGGTTCCTGAGTGGAGTGAACAGTGAGTGGCTGGCAGTGCCCCCTCGTGGTACCTCCGGGTACACATACCGGGTACCTCACACCCGCCCACCAAAGATACCTGGCACCTCGACACCGTACACTGCCACATCGGCCATGTCTAGCAGGCGGCTGAGTGTGCCCTCCACCTCCGTGGTGGACACATTCTCGCCTTTCCAGCGGAAAGTGTCCCCCGTGCGGTCTCGGAAATACAGGTAGCCCAGCTCATCCATCACCAGTACGTCACCTAGGAGAGGGTGTGAGGCAGGGCTTAGGCCAGTAGTCCTGGCTGGATCCCAAGAATTTGCTTGGCTGAAGGGGATGGGATTGGGCGGGTCCTGGGGAGGTGTCCTCTGAATGTGGCAAAGACCCCTTCCTTGCTCCCCATTCCTACCCTCCGCTGGGGCTGTGAAGGGCTAGGGAGAGGAGCCCACTCACCGGTGAGGTAAGCCTGGTCCCCCTTTTTGAAGACATCCTTGGCGATCTTCTTGTTGTTGGCACCCTGGTTGAGGTAGCCGTCGAAGCGCCGCAGGGGGTCCTGCTGGATGATGCGGCCCACCAACTGGCCCGGCTCACCTGGGGGCGGAAGGCAGGGCCAGATTTGCCATGGTGGCCTCTTCTCCGATCCCCCTGCCCCCAAATGCACCCTACGTGCTGATCTGCCCTCTGGTCACACTATTTCCCAGTGCAGCCCCCCAAGGCAGGGCGCTTCTCTTGGCAGGTCTGACACACGTGGGCACTCAGTGGTATCTGGTCACTGAGCCGAAGGAAGGATGGACAAATAGCTGACAGGGTGGCTGAACCCTATACGGACAGTCTGGCCACAGCAGCATTCCCTGGGCTCCTGGCTCAGCTCAAAGAGCTTCACGTTCTGCAGCACATGATCCTCCGGGCCACCCTGTGAGGCAGTGCTGCCATCAGCCCCGATGCTAGGTGGGAGTCTCGGGCCCAGAGCTAAAGGGCTGAGCGAGGATCGTCCCAGGCGGCCTGGACCCAGGTCCTCAACACAACAGAGAAGAGATGAACAGAGGGAATAAACGACTAAGAACTGACTGACGGCCACTGGTCAGACAAGGTTTCCTCCAGCCCACCCCTGACCTGTTTTCCTCCTGGGCCAACCCCTCCCCGCCAACCCCCAATCCCGACCCCCAACCCCAGCACAGACCTGGCTGGCAGGGAAGGCAGACACCATCGGGCCCCCGGATCAGCTCCATGGTGTCCTCGTTGACACGCACTAGCCGGATTGGGTACACGAAGGACAGGATGCGGCTGTTGAAGCCACAGGCTCCCACCTGCAAAGGCCAAGACTTGGGCCTGGGCTCTCCCCGTGCGCTCAAACCCGGGCAAGGTGTGCGAGGACACTCCAGCACCACTCTCCCTGCTGGAACCCTGCCCTCCCTCCTGCTGCCAGTGCCTTCGCGATCCATCCATGTCCCCACCGGAGCATACCTGGCTGTCAAAGTTGCCCAGGCTGCAGTTGCACTCGGTGGCCCCGTAGAACTCGGCCACCTGGGGGATGTTGAAGCGACCGGAGAATTCCGTCCATATGGACTGTCGGAGGCCGTTGCCCAGCGCCATGCGCACCCGGTGCCGGTTTTCCACCTCCCGGGGCGGCTGGTTCAGGAGGTAGCGGCACAGCTCACCGATGTACTGCACGATCTGGAGGCGGACTTGGGGTGAGTTTGGGTCCCGGAGGTTGCTCTCACTTCCCACCTCCCAGTCTCCCGGGCCCCTTCCCCTACTAGCTCTGGCCCTCCCCACCGGGCAACCCTTTTCCTCTCCGGGCCTCAACCTCTCCATCTGAACAATGAACAACTGGCTGCCTCAGCCGTAAGACAGAAGTCCCGAGTGGAGCTGGTGGG